CTGGATGTGCTCAGATCACAGGCATGCCTCACCATGCCTGGCGTATATGATGCTGGCATTGAATTCAGGGCCTTGTATACGCAAGGGAAGAACTCCTTGAAGCAAAGCCTTATACCCAGCCCTTCGGCCAGGGCTGCAGTTCTGTATGTTCAACCATGGGAGTATGTTTGCTTCTGTTGCTATTATTTGATATTATTTATTTGTGGGTGTGTTGCTGTCTGTAGATTTTGGTTTTATTTTGTTTCGAGACAGGGTCTCAGCTGGCCCAGGCTGGTGTTGAACTCTTGATCTTCCTGATTCTACCTCTTAATCAACAGAATCACACGTGTGCAATGCTTCCTGGGTGGGCATGTGTGGGCATGCTCTCTACAGGGTACATATATGAAAAGTTCTAAGCGTGTGGCTACAGAAGAGGCTGTCACTGTCCATGTGTGCTCACACATAGCTTTGTATTTTGTTCATGCGTTAAAAATTATATCTCAAAAGCAGCATACACTGGTGTGGATCTGTAATCCCAACTTTTCAAAGGCTGAGGCAGGAGGATTGCAGCCTGAGGGTACTCCTGACAGTTTAGTGACACTCAGATTTTTAGTTTGTTTGTTTTTTTTTTGTTTGTTTTCTTGTGTTTTTTTTTCTTTTTCTTTTTTTTTGGGGGGGGGGGTTCGAGACAGGGTTTCTCTGTGTAGCCCTGGCTGTCCTGGAACTCACTCTGTAGACCAGGCTGGCCTCAAACTCAGAAATCCGCCTGCCTCTGCCTCCTAAGTGCTGAGATTAAAGGCGTGCGCCACCACTGCCTGCCGTGTTTTTTTTTTTTTTTCAAATGTACATGGGGACACTGTCGCTGTCTTCACACACATCAGAAGGATCCCCATTACAGATGGTTGTGAGCCACTGTGTGGTTGCTAGGATTTGAACTCATGACCTCTCAGTGTTCTTTAACCTCTGAGCCATCTCTCCAGCCCCACCTTAACACTCAGTTTTTAAAAGTACAGAAAATTGGAACCCAGGAAATGACTCAGTGGGTAAAGGTGCATGCCACAAAAGTCAGGGGACCCAAGGTTAGTCCCTGGAATCCACATGGTGGAAGGAACAAACAGGCTTCTGAAGGTTTTCCTCGAACCTCCACATGAGGGTCATGAGACACAGAGGACCTCACACACAGAGACATGGATCACACACAAATAATTTTTAAATTTTTCATCTCATTTTATTTTCATTTTTATGTGCATTGGTGTCTGGTCTACACTACACATTTGTCTGTGTGAGGGTGGGGTTACAGACAGTTGTGAGCTGCCATGTGGGTGCTTGAGAACTGAACCCAGGTCCTCTGGAAGAGCACCGAGTCCTGTTAATGAGCAGCCAGTGCTCTTAACAGCTGAGCTATCTCTCCAGCCCTTTTTAAATTTTCAGACAGAATGGCCAGGAGTTACAGCTTAGTGGCATAGCACCTACCAAGCATGCATGAGGCTTTCGGTTCAACATCCAGTACCATTAATTAATTAAAATTAATTAATTAATTAATTAATTAATTAAAATGCAATCATCTAATGAGCCATGCCTAAAAGGCAGATGTGTGCCTAAATTCCCAAACTGGGGACACTGGGGCAAGGGGGCTTTTTGAGGCCAGTATGGGCTACATAGGAAGATTCATCAACTAAAGAAAAAAATCTGGAAGCTCTGCAGTGGTGGCACACCCCTTTCATCCCAGCACTCGGAAGTAGTGGCTGGAAGGTTTGTGCATGTTCGAGGCCAGCCTGGTCTACGAGTGAGTTCCAGGACAGCCAGGCCTAGGCAAGGAAACCCTGTCTTGAAAAACAAAAAAGAAGGGAGAGGAACAAGGAAGAAAGGAAGGAGGGAGTGAGGGAGGAAGGGTGAGGAGAAGGAAGAAAGGAAGGGAGAGGAGAAGGAAGGAGGGAGGAAGGGAGGGAGGGAGGGAGGGAGGGAGGGGGAGGGAGGGAAGGAGGAAGGAAGGAAGGAAGGAAGGAAGGAAGGAAGGAAGGAAGGAAGG